TCATTTTATATATTTTTTCATAGTATTACATTTGAATTTAACAGATCATTCTCTCACATAACAGACAAATATTTGTGAAATTATGATACATTTCTGAATGTATTTTTACAATCTAAATATGCATATGTACAAAAAAATATATTTAAAAAACAAGTAAGTTGTGTTTTACTATATTTACAGTGATGTTATGTTATTTTACCTTTGACATGTAAAATCACAGTCTACTTATGTAAACGTAATATTCTAGAAAGACAGTACAAAACTGTAAAATATACAGTAAGATACTTTGACATTACTATTTTTTGGAACAGTGTACTTAAAAACCTTCCTTCCTACTAAAGACCTTCCCCATGCCATCCACACTATGCCCAAGTAACTAAGTAACAGATTAACAATAACAGATAAAACACAAAAGTTCCTGTTATTTTTTCATCGTCACTTTCTTTTCTTTTTTTTTTCTTTTTTTTTACAAAGAGTCAATGGAGGAAAAAATAATCTTTTTTTAATTATTATGATTTAATTTTAAAAAAAAAACTCCTGTTATTGCTATTACTACTAGAACTTTTCTGTAATTTTCTACACCCATTTTATCTTGCTGACAGATTTCTTTGATTTGCTGCAGCAGCATTTCTTATCATGTAGAAAAGACGCTTCTTTTTTATATTAATTGGGATTAAAGGTGTATTTAAGCATCTTTACGCTGACAGAAAGGGGAGCTTCTCTTGTTAGGCCCAATTAAGAACAAACTGGGCTGTAAAATGAATTGGACATCTCTGCTTTAGAGTCTTAAAAGTTAGATAAATAGCAGAAAGAAAGTTTAGTTTGCTCCCGGTGCTGTCCAGTTTGTCATCAGTAGTTCAGTTTAGCTGTGTCTCTTAAATCGGTTTATCCCGCCTGAGCTCCATTTCGACGCGCCACGTGTTCCAGTCTTATTCTCTCTGCCGCGCGCTCGTTAGCCCTTCTCTCTGTCCACGACCGCAACCTGCTGGTCAGCGCCTGCCTCATCTCCACACTCCACAGTCCATAGACCAGCGGGTTAATGCACGGTGGCACTATGAGCATAACCAGCAGCGATATATGAAGCGCAGTCGCCGTGGGGGTGGTCTTCACTTTGCAGAGGCCGGGAGACTGAGAGGACTGTACCATCATCGCCACCGGTGCCCTAAACTCCCACAGCGCGTCCGACGCGACTTTGAGGAGCAACGGCAGCAGCTGCAGGAACAGCATCCCGCAGTAAAACAACACAGTGTTGCGCGCTGTGACGTTAATCGCGTTGAAAGGTATCACTGCGTTGCGCGCGACCTGGTACATTCTAAAGAAGGAAAACGCGTGTATCAGCAGACACAGCAGCAGGGTGAGGGAGCCCACGGTTTTGCGAAAAACTGCAGAGGCACGGGGGAACCCCAGGTGCTGTTCCACAACATCTGGCTCGCACATAAGCCCCGTGGTGACCGTTTCATCATCCTCTCCTCTCCCGGTGTGCAGCAGCACAATTTCAGAGACGCCGATGAAAACCGAGTACAGCCAGATTCCCCCCAGGACACCCCGCAGGCGGATCTTAGTGAAAATTGGCAAGTACCGGATGGCATGACAGACGTATATGTATCGCTCCAACGCCATGCAAGTTATAGTAACGAGACTACAGAAGACAGAGACTCCACCCAAAAAGTACTGAACGTAACACCATCCGTTGAACGCCATCGTGCGGCGCTGGATTAGTGAGTGGACGACCGCCGGGCCAAAGGTCGCAGTCTGCACCAGGTCGCTGAAAATCAGGTTCTTGAGCAGGATGAAGCGCGGCTGCCAGGAAAACTCCTCCGACTGTCCGAGGCCGAACAGAGTAAGCGCGTTCACAAAGCACGACAAGGCGGTCAGCAAGACAAAAAAGCAAATCAGCACTGAAACCGCCTGTCCTTCAGGTACTATAGACAGAAACAGGCAGTTGGCATTGTTCAGCTGTCCAGCCGCGTGTGGGTTAGTTTGGTTCTCCTGGCTGAAGCTGTCGCGCTCCTCAGTGAGGTTGTGCGCCTCCGTCTCCAGCACAGCTGTCATTTTAATCTGTGGAAGCATCAACAGCCTGATGTCTCCGTCCTCCCCCACAGCCTAATGCCATTCACAGGTCTGCATCCTTCAGCATTTTTCCACACCTGTACGATCTGACCTGGCAACACGCGCGCATACACACGCCCACAGTTCTCTGTGACCAGTTGTTGGACGTCACACTGAACTTGAACAGCAAACAATTCACAGACCACGTAAAATCCACGCATCAGGATTCTCAGCACAGACTCTGGACTCGGTCTGCAGTCTCCATGGAGCACAGGTGCGCACACCAAGGAGTCACATGAATGCGTCTGCAGTGGCTTTCTCTCGTGCTCGCTCTCATATGCCGGCAGTATGAAGCAGGGAAAGTTGTAAAAGTGGATCAGCTAAAAAGGAAAGCTGGAGGGGGGTGGAGATTGTAAAAGAGAGAAAAAGTTGCTGAAAAATAAAATAATTCACCCACTAAAACACGATCACGGTGTTTGACGTGGTAGCGCGTCAAAGCAGTTTCCCTGAATGTCCTTGTGGAGTTTTTGGAAACCTTATTGTGCTTCTGAATTTCTCTTGATTAAGCAATAAAAAGCCAATTATTTTAAAAAAAAACGTAGTTTGCTTTTCTTTTGTTTAGTTGCACCTTTTGTATTGTGGTTTTCAGCTGTCACTATTGTTACCAATACAACACCCCGGTTCGCCTGTGAGAAGATTTACGACACCCAGGCGCTTCGGAACATGAGTGCATTTTACGCGAACTTGTTAAACTTATCAAAGTACATCAACTTTCGAAATTGACTTTTGACATATGGGTACACACTGCACCCTAGTGCTCGAGACTGGTAACTGCAGCCCAGAGGCCAGTTTGACAAGCTATTTTTAAATATGAAAGCTTATTGAAATTTGCAGAATATTGTAAATTCACATATAGCTTTGTGTGATTGTGTAATAAATATGATATATAATTGTATTACTAAAATTAGGAAAGAATAATAACTACAACAGGAGGCAATACATTACTATTTCAGGACAACCTACTATCTTATAAGATTAATAAAGCATGCACATTATCAGTGTCAAGTACACTCATGTGGATTACATAAATACACACATCCTTCCAAGGGCACAAACCCCTTCACTAGATTTATTACATTGTTGATGGCCTTGTGTTTTTGTGTGTTTTGAATACATGTTCAAGTAGCTACTCCAAATCACTACAGTATGTACTCTGGGTATCTAGTTCTTTTTTTAATCTTTTTTTCCTCTTCCTTGTTTTCCAATAAGTATATTGGAATTATATATTTATTTATTTTATGCTTATTTATTCTATCCTGTTATTCTATTTATATTATTAATTTAGGTTTTACCTAATATTTATTGATTTTATTCTTATTCATTTTTTATCTTCTTACTCTATTCATATTTATATTGTATCCCGTTATTTATTTTAATTTTTTTATTCTGTATATACTCTTATTAGGTCATATCTCCAGTGTTTCCTCGTAGGGGGCTCTCTACACCGGGGCTGTGATTGACCGTGGCTGCTGGGGCTCTGTGGGTCCTCTCAGCCTGGCTGGGGGGCTTCTTTGCCTCCCTCCTGCTGTGTGCCCAGCCTGGAGGCTGCGGTCTGTGACCGGCTCCCTGTGATAGTGTTTCCTCACCTGGCTCATGTGTGCCCAGCCCAATTTTACTCTTTGTGTGTGTGTGTGTGTGGGGGGGGGGGGGTATGTATCCATGATCGTTTATGTTAATGAGAGTGTGGGGAGTGAGTTGGAGGGCGGGGTGGGGTGCTTTTAACCATGTAAAGCACTTTGTGCTACATCTTTGTATGAAAAGTGCTTTATAAATAAAGATTGATTGATTGATATGTACTGTATAGAGCAAGAATTAGTCTTATTTGTGTTTCTAAAACAATAAACAGGGTTCACTCCAGCTTTGCTTTGATTATTAATAAACTTAGAGAGGTCAGAGGTTCACCAATCTGCAAAAAACTGTGCCCAGAGCTGTGACCTGTTTTAATACACTTCAAGCTGTTTCTGGATTGTGTTCACATATCGTTAGCTTCATAGCATAAGTGCCTAAGTCATTTTTTGGTCAAATTGCATGTGATATTTAAAAATATGCATGTGATATTTAGAAAATTAGTTTTTTCTTGTTTTCCGAAAACACAAAAAAATGACTTAGGCACTTATGCTATGAAGCTAACGATATGGCTTTGTCTTTGCATGACACAGCTTCATTGACCTGCATTTGTAGGTAGCGTACTGAACTGTGTTCACAGACATAGATTTCTGCAAGTGTTTCTGAGTCCATGCAAGGATTTGCATGACACAGTCATTCTTGTTTTTAATACAGTCCTACCTGAAGATCATGGGCTTGCAATATTGATTTAGACCTTGTCCCTGGTGCACAGAAACTGCTCCACATTCTGTGAATCATTTGATGATATTATGTACTGTAGGTGATGAGATGTTCAAAGTTTTCCCTTATGGGTGATCTTAAACTCTTGGTTTGGAGGATATGGTGGATGGTAGGGCGCCAAGTTTCAATTTAAGGAGAGCTTCTGTTTGAGACCCATGAGGATTTCACAGAGCTGACTCGTACAAAAGGTGAACTCAAAAAAGCAGCAAAGAAGTGGCTCGTCTGTGGATCAGGCTTGTTGTGGCACTACATGTGCATGCTCATTTGGAAAGAAGAGGTTGTCTGAGTAACAGGTGTGCTCTCTTTTACATATTCCTTGAGCAAAGCCTGAGCAGTTTTTGTGCTGTGGTTGTGCCAACTGCTGTGTTGTGCCATCAGGGAGTGCTTTAGGAGTAAATGTGCACCTTTGGTCTTTGTCACACCTGACAAAGTCTTTAATGTTGTGGCAGATCAGTATTCAGTATAAGGTGGTCTGGCTGCATTATTTAGCATCAGCTGGACAAATCCCCAGCAGCCACCGAGTGCTGTGATTGTAGCTTTATTGCTCTATTGTGAGCAAACCTTATGTGTAGCTGGAATCTGACACTCACACATCACAACTGTTTGCTGCATGTTTGCTTTGGAAGATTTTTACAGCAGAAAGGGATTTGTTTCTCCTCCTGGGATTGAAACAGCACGCAATTACACGATGGAGTCTCCCAGCAGATTTTTAGTTTAATAAGTCTGCATGAACTGTACAGCTAGTTTACTGAAACATTTAGTTGAGCTAAAGACTGGAGAGCAGTCTTTAGCTTGAGGAGGGAAAAGGAGCAGAAAGAAGGGTAGCAAAAGAAGGAGTGAAGGATCAAGATGGTGGAGGCTAAACGTGGACGAGTGATGGCATACCTCAAGCCTTATTTAGGGTGTGTTTGTCCAGAGGACTCAGCTGCTCCATGGAGAATGTCCAGGAATAGAAGGAGTTATAGAAGAAGAGATCATGGAAAGAGAAAGAAAAGAAGACAGAACGAGAAAAAGAGCTGAAAACAACACAGCTTTTTTGTTTCTCTTGGTCTGTTATCAAACCAAAGTCTTCAAACGGAGCCACGCTTTTTTTTTCTCACCCAAGCAAGGGAAGTTTGCTTCTGGGAAGTCAGCCTCAGCTGGTGCTGTCAGTCAGGCACCAAACAGGCACTCCAATAACACTGGTGACATAAGCTGGAGAGCATGGAAGCTGAACTTGCATTATGGCCCTCTGGGGGAGACAAGGGGTGATGACTGAGAGGAGTGAGAAGAGCTTAAGATGGAAACAGGAGGTGGTGAGGATCATAACATGGAGAACAGTAGGAGGGTGATAAAGTGTTATCTACAGGAGAAGGATTAAGAAGAAAAGGTGCACAGTGTGATCAGCGCAGCTGGATTTTTTTTCCTGACTGTATTCAGGCAGGTTTTTATCCAAGGCTATGTATGCAGCAGCTTGCACCTTTGACATGCACCTGCACAGCATTGTTTGAAGTGAATGGCAATTTTTTACCGTAAAAATTTTAGTGTGCTAATATACTCAAAATCCTTTTTCTATAATTTTTAAATGCCATAATCAGTCAGACTGGAGGAATCTCCAGATAAACGCGGACTAGATCTTCGTTTAACCTTTTTTTCATTATAAGTGTGAATGTCAACTTCCAGCAATAAATCACCAGTAATTAAATCATCCACAGTCAAGATCAGTTTCTGAACAAGATAAGAGATTATGTGCCAAATCATAGTAAGGGAGGGTGGAAATTAATAGCACAGAAAGTGTCAGGAACATACAGCTCATGAAGGTTGTTTGCCACTAATTTTATCTTTAGGTTTGATACTGACACATCAAACCTGTGTGTTTGAAGAAGTAAAAAAATGAGTCTTTGTTTTTTAAAAAAAATTTTTTATGTTGTGTAAACACATGATTGAGGCAGCCAGGATAATGCTGCCTCCACACCACAGTGGTGAAGCTGTGGAGACAGTGGCACACTTTTCATAAACCCGTCGCTGAATATCAGCCGCCCAGGTTCTCCTCGAGATTAGTGTCACTATCCCTACACTCAGCTGCATGTGGAATCATCTTTCTGCATGCAATGTAGCTGTAATTCAAATAAATCCATGGAACTGAACAAACTGTAGAGATGTAGAGCTTCATATTTGCTGTAAAAACTGTGAAATCAGAGATAAATGAATGCTATATGGACTCTTTTCTTTGTATTCCCATAGGTTTTCTATGCATTCAGCATATCCATTATAGCGTTACAGAGAACTGAGCTAGTCCGCCATTAAGGTTTCTAGAAGATATGACTCTTCTTCTTTAGACAAATGACTCTTCAGCTTTGGGACGGAGGCCACTGTGGAGGATGGATGCTTTTTGTTTTGTTTTTATATAGAAAAAGGGAATATGCAAGTATACCTCCAAATAAAATAGGATACATTTTTAAATGACACAAGCAGCGGCTTCAACCTGTGTAACTTGTGTGTTGATGTGCTTTTTTTTTTTTTTAGATATATAAGAATGTCTCAGCGTTAGTTGTGTGTCATACAAACACTTCCTTTGCCCAGCATTTAGTTTGTTGGATGCGGTCACCCTACGAGCA